GAGAACTCGGCTCTGCTGGTTTCGCTTAGGCGAACAAGGAAGCTGCCAGCCGGTGCAGGTTTGAGTAGGTGTTCCGCCTCCAGACGCGAGAGCGCAGCATGATACCAACTGAAGGAGGTGGGAGGCAGTAGAAGCCGGCAGGGGAGGGAAGGGAAGAAGGGATGAATAAGGAAAGAAAACAGTGAGACACAATAGACGAGTTGGTACGGCGTCTCCGAGCGCACGAGAGTTGGCTGCGGGTCGCGGATACCACCTACACACATTCGAGATCTCTCGTCCCAACTACGCGGTCAAGGCAACAGAACATGGCAGAAAACGGAGCCTATGGCATCGATTGGCCTTTTGGTGTGTTGTCAAGCTGGACGGGCGAAAGTGAGGAAACTGGAGGGTTAGTGACAAACGCGAATGCTACGACTCGTGTACCGAAGGAATGCGAACAGCTCTCTCCCACAATTCAGTTGGGCCAATCGATCTGGCCGACCTTAAGCCCAACAACCAATCGGTAGGCAGAGCTTACGGGGGAAGATGGCAACTCAGACGGCCGGGTCGAGGGAAGACAGACTCGTGGCTGAAAAGTACATAAACCACCAGAATGTATCCTTTGTCCTCAAAGACTAACTGTCTGACTGACTCAAAAAGTCTACGAAGCCTGTACCTCCCTAAGTCCCCTGCTGTATATGGGCGATTTGTCAGACTGGTGGCGAAGTTGAGTGGCGAAGTTGAGTGTCTGCGAGTGTAATCACTACGGCGTTGGAAAGGGGTTTTGATGTATCCTGGTCTGACGCAAATGGGCGTCAAGACACATTCATGATGAGCATGTTTCGAGATTGTCAAGAAATATTGAAGGGGTCGGTCAAGGTCGCTTAAGGTGATTTAAGGATGGATAACTGAGCATTTCCTCAAATGAATGAGTAGGATGCCATTTTGCATTCATTTAGAGTGGGATTATTGGTTACTCAAGCAACGGCGTTTTCAAGACCCGTTTGGGGTGTTGACGAGAATGTACTGGATGAGATGTACTTTTATGATGCCATAGCAGCCTGAGGCCTACTCAACAGACTCTGGGAAAATTCACCAATCAGTCCTTTACTCCACTTACTCAACCCAGACTGATTATGACCTTATTTAACAATTAACGAAATTATCGGAAGCTACTTAAATAGAAAATAAGTAATGTCGTCGATTGTAATGGCGAAAAGATGTTGGCATAATCTAGCATCTAACAATAAATGCTATTTAGCTGAGTCCGGACTTGTCTAAAATGTGGCATCTGACCTTTGGCCAACCAACACATTGACACTAGCAAATATGTAGTCGCTAGAATACCCAAGAGAAGGAATCGAATATCTTTGGAGGTGTTGTTGGGAGACGCTGGGGCGAGGTCAAAACGCACTTGAGTCAGGTTTGGATGAGATATCCTTTTGGGGGGAGCAATTTAATGAAATGGCTACGAAAGTTGGCGGCATCATAAGTCCTAATGATTTTAATTTGATAAAATTTAACTTTTACTACCTAAATCTCCGTAAACAACATGGACTAACGGTGTTCTATTTAAATTGATAAGTCCCTATGGCAATATATTGATGCCCGCGAGAGTTAATTAGATTGACGACAAATGCTTTGAGCAACATCGAGATATCACGAAGATGATTTGCGTTAAAAAGTAGTCTTATATGTGCATTCTAATGCTCATGCCAACGACCAGATCTTGCTCTCTCTCCGATAAACAAACAAACACATGTCAGTGTCTTTGCATGGTGCTTGAAAAGAGGGCGATTCCGACAGCTTGCTCTCTCCGATAAAGCGGTGTTGCCGTTTCGTGACGATTTCACCGTCTGAATAATCTCGTTCCGAGGAGAGGACAGTTGCCGTGGCGTGAGTATAGACATACAGGAGTTGTCATGAGGACCGCTTATCAGTGCCGGCACCTATAAAGGTGTATTTTGACGGAGGACATGGAACAAAACTGGTGAAAAGACAAAAATACCCGTGCAATTGTGATAAAAGAGCATCTACTGATCCTTGCATCACCTTAAGCAACGTAGACTCCCTAAGTTCTTAATAAAAAATAACAGCTGGTCTCTAAACCTACTTATATTCGATATAAGTAGTATACTTGAGTGCAATGGCTTAATCGACAATCCTACTCAAAAATGTGATATATTAAGAGCTTCCTTAAATGTCGCACCTGCCCTGTTAGACACTAGCAACCGTTGGTCGTATAGTTGAGTGGTTAACGTCGCCATGATGCTCACGATTCGGAATCGAATATCATTGAGAGAAATGATGAGACCAGTTTAGGCGAGCTCTAAACTTCAGTTGGGTTAAGCCTAGAAAAGATAAGCTTGTGGAAGGTAAGACGACTAAGAGAGATTACATGGCTTCATGAAGCCTAGTTATTTGATTGTGGGAAAACTCACATATTAGCCCTTAACTTGCCTTCAAAAACCTAGGCTTCCTAGATGCAATATATATATGTATAGATAAATATAAATATATCAATTTTCGTATATAAGTATATAAATATATCAGTCATGGTCCGTTTTTTGCTATCGCACAATGAATGTCGTTTGCCCTTTGGAGTTCACCACGAATCAGACTGGACATGGACGGATCGACGAGGCTGATTTAAGCCTTGTCAAAAGTAATAAAAGTGAAACTTTTACATGTGCCATGGCAACATCAAGGGAGCCGTGGATAAAGCTTTTGAGCGTTGTTGGTCCGTAGGATGCCGTTACTCCACATATTACAAAAAGAGTTAATTAAAACGACTGACTCCTTTAAAAACACAGGCTTTTGTTCGCTCGCAGTCCGTCGGGCAGCAGAACTCTAAGAGTCAACGAAGACGAAAGAACCATTTAATAATTAGTATTACTCCTCTTTCCAACTGGCCCAGAGACTCGCCCAGACTGACAGATTCTACCACATTACTGGTCTGGAAGATGAAATCTGACTAATGATAGGAAACGAGGCAAACTTACACATCTCTCTCGTCCATCTTAACAATCCATCCAACAGACCAGACGGCCTTCAAAGCTCCGGGAAACCTGTTCGACACTAGAAGGATACAACGCGAGGCATTACTTTCAACGAAGATCAGCTGTCGCCACCAAAAATGATCATCAGGAAGCTTTCAGAATTGCTTTCTGCAAGTGCAGAACTTTGGGTCGCTTTAAAGATCACACTAGAAAATAACCTGAAATGCGAAGACCTCAAAGAATTTCCACTACTTCTAGAATGGGCAGTCCAGGTACCTCGAAGACTGAACAATTAAATTTAGCAAGGGACGCATCTGAAGTATCCACGACAACTCGTCTTTTCGGGGATGAGACGACAACTTGGTGTCTTCGGTCTTACCTTGCGCATCCGGGCTTTATCTGCCCTCGTTTCAAAAGTAAATGGCCGAAAAAAGTAAAACTAACTACGAACTAAAAAAGATGGGGTCAAGAACAGAAGACCTCGAATCGAAAGCATTTCCGCCTCCAACACATTTGGAGAGTGCCACAAATATCCTGGCCAAAAATTGGTCACTGTGACTACGACGCAAATGGGAATGGACTGACGGACAAAATAAAAATATTTATTTTCATTTCTCCCTCTCCTGCCTCCATCCTGTTTGTCCTCCTCATCGTCGCATGAACTCATGCGTCTGTACCTCTGCAAAAGCGTGTATGCATAATCACTTCAGCTTCACTATTCACCCAACCACTCCTCCCGGCTGTCTGGCCATATCCCAGTTTTTCCAATCTTCTACAGTTGCCGTTATCACTTCGAAAAGTCAATAATCCCTGATCAATAGATACAGAGAGAAAAAGAGCTATAGCAATCCCTTGGTGTATTTGTTGCTGTATTTACTTTTTTTCTCAATTTCCAAATACATTTGTTGCTGTATCAGGAGATTCTGGGTAAAAATTCCTCTGCCCTCTCCACCAATCAAACCCTCTTCCTTCAATCACCTCTCGCCCCCTCGTCATGGGCAAGCCCTACTCGTCTCTCCGCTTACGGTTGCTCCTCCAGAGGCCGAAGCATCTCCATCGACTGCTGTCGCAGGTAGCAACGCGCCACCTCGTCCGAACCCCACACGGTCTCGTCACCCTCACGCCGGGTCAGATGAGGTCGCGATGGTGTCGGCAACGTCGTGGCACCGACGGCGGGAACCGTGCTCAGGTACCGAGTCGTGATAGGTGTCGTCTTGGCAGCTCCAACAACCGGCCAAAAGATCGGCGTCTGACCGAGGCGGGCATCGCCAGGGCGCTCGGGGATGCGTTTGTCTAAACCGCCACCAGATGCGCGGCGTAAATTTTGCTCCCGACTCGTTTGCCAGTCAACAGTAGGCAAGGGCTCTTTTGAGGCCTAAACAGAATCAGAGATAAAAAGGGCTTAGGTTGGACTATCACCTACCGACTGACCCATGAAGCCAAAAAAAAAACGATCATTCAGTACCGGTCATACTACTTTTTCGTTTGTAAGTAGGTATTTGAGACTAACATTAGATCATATATATATATATATATATATATATAATATAATATAAAATGTATTCACTTAATTTCGTTTAAAATTAAATAAGACTGGTAGTTGAATTTTTTAAAAGTCGCAGCAGTAGACCTTACGCTTCCATTGAATTTCCGATGGCTTTGCTTCCCATAAGGTCTTCTCATCCTGGCTGGAGTGAACTGCAGTTTCGACCTCGCCTGAACTCGTCTCATCAGCACTCCTGGCGGGACTCAAATCATGACAGTGCCGCGATGAAACCTAGCTGAGGTCGAAACTGCAGTCCAGTCCGTGCTGGATAAGAATATCTTTAGGGAAGCAAGGCTACGCTAAATTCACTGGAAATGTAAGGCCTACTCAAACGAGTGTGGAAAAATTCAATTACCAATCCCCTTATCGCCCTAAATGAAATAGGATGAATGCATCTAATAATAGTGTCTAAAACATAATTATAAACGAAAATTAAGTATATGCGGAGAAAAGTTGGGTTTTAAGGAATCTCCTGTTTCCTAACTGTTGAGCTTACTTCCATTTCGAGTAAAAGTGTTTGGTGAAGCGATTCGAAAGTCGATTTCACCAGAAGACGACGGCGGATTCCTCTTGACAAACTAGTGATTGGCTTTACTAGAACGTTCTTGTTGATGCTATTTCTGAGAAAATCTCCTTCGACTTCGGCGAAAACGTGCTGTGCTTTCTTCCGTCTTATGACGAAAACCCTCAGAGCAGGAAGGGTATCCGCCTTATAGCAACATTCAAGCTAATGAATTAAGATAATTCACTGGCTCATCCCTAAATGCTGTATATATACTAAGAGAATGCGGGTTTCGAAGTCTTCCCTGAGATAAGGTTGATGTCAATACTTTCATTTCGTATAGAAGTACATACTCTTATCACCATGTCCTCCCATACGACAATGTATACATAATATAGATGTATTCACCCTATTTCGTCTAAGGTGATGAAGGACTGGTAGTAGAATTTTCCCACAATGATATGAGTATAGCTGAAGTTTCCATTGAATTTCACATAGCCTTTGGGAAAGC